ATACCATTGGTAGAATCCTTACAAAATGGAGCATGGCTTAAGAGTATGCGAATCCTGTAAATTTGCTTCGAAAAACTGTCCCGAAATAAGTGCTACATTTGTGGAAAGTAAAAACTGAGAACGAAAATACCAAGTTATGATAATTTTAATCGCAAATAAAACAATTTGAATTGATGTATAATTGTACTGGTATCAGTCTACTAAACTCCATCGAAAGTTGTTTATGACTCCACATACTTGAAATGTAGCAACTAATTTGGGACAAAATTTTCGACCTAAATGGAGCAACTGATTTGGGATGGAGGGAATAATAATTATGTTAATTAAGTTATGTTTAAAATAATGCATTCTACTTACAGAACTGTTTTATTTTTAGGATGGTATTACAAAGGTGAAGTTCAGGCATAGATAATATTTTTAATTGATTTTATTCAGTTCCCATTTGCTCATAGGTCCTTAATTTTTTTTGTCAGTGGTTCTTGCAAGTCCTTAACCCATTAACCGCCAAAGCTACAAGGAATGTTTCTTTTCTCATGAAAATAATAACAAATATTAAATTAAGCATTTATAACATAAATTTACATTGAAAATAAAAAAAAAATGCCTTTACCTGTGGAAAAAGCGAGTGTTGCGTTCACACAACGTCAGCGGAATAAGACTACGGATGTTTAGTGAGTAGGATTGTACTCGTGTGATGTTTCTTTTGAGTGGAGCGCAGGATTACTTTTTAGCTGTAAACGTTTTATAAATCTGCAAATCACTTTACTTGTAATTAATTTAATATATTAAAATATACATTGTATTTGTTTTACAAATACAGATTATTTCAATTGAAAGATTCAAGCATGAAAAGCTTCATTACAATCATGATGTAAAGCTACATTACATACTTAGCATCTATAAACAGTCTGGCTATGGTACTCTTCACAACAAAAGTCTTTTGTTATCGACGGACTTTACGATAAAATGTCTACCATCTCCATGCAATGGTTTTTGAATGCTGAATTTACTAGGTCTTCCTGTTGCTGATCTATTTCTGGTTAATTCTACACTTTCAATAGGAGTTTGCAAAAGGAATAATGCATTCTCGCGTCTGAAATCTGAAAGAGACTTTAAATTTCCAGTAGTGGTGATGTTTAGTAAGATTTGACTATTGTCAAATGCAAATTCTGCTTCATAATCCTGTACTGCTAACGTGATATCGATTCTTGTACAACAGGAACAGAAATGTCCTTATCAAAAGACCAACACATTTTTTTCTTAAGGTAAAGAATGATATCCTGTAAGCAATAATATTTCAATAAATATTCTCATACAGGCTACAGATGCAATAAATTCTGTTTTTTTTTTTTTTTTTTTTTTTTTTTTCTGAGCGTATATATTTGTCTGTTCAACGAGAAGAGAGTAAATGTCTTAACCAAAATGAAAATTGAAAATATGTGCACTAGTTTTACCTTGTATTTTGTCTTTTATAATTTCTCTTCTATCTCTTTCTTCATGTTCTTCCTGAGACATAACTAACAGTTCCTTTTTTATCCACTTCAAGATTTCAGTCTTCTGCTTTTTAAACTTTTTAGTGTGACTATAACTGCTTTCAGAAGGCTGAAACGTACTTACGTGAATTTCAACTTCCCCAGCAGTATCATTTGGTAAAATATCATTATTTAAAACATTGCCATTCCTTTCTTATTTGTCACTAGCTTCTGCAATTTCTGGGGGAACAACAACAATATCAGTTTCATTTTGGTCATTATTAACATTATCATCATCTGTTTCTTCATCAAAAAATCTTTGAAGGGCTTCTTTTAATGTAAGATATCTCGTTCTAGGCATTTTTAAACAACCAGAACATCGAAAGGAATGAGTGAAAAAGGAGATTGACTACCCGTTTCCTGCTGACGTTGCGTCAACGCAACACTTGTTTTCCCTTCCTTCCCAACACAAATATAAACAACTGACAGATGTAATGTTCTGATAAACGGTGACCTTGACTAAAAATAGATCACTCATAAAGACGGCGATTCTTTCGTTAAATATTTTCAGCAAAAATACCCGGTTGAAAATTTTGCTTAAATTTTGCTTATAGTATGAGATTAATTATTATAAACAAAATGATTGTTGAAGGCAAATATTTTTTTGCAGAAATAATCTTCATAATATTCCCTACACAAAATCATCTGCTGGTATAAAATATCTTAGATAGTTATATTTATATACGCATTTATGTTGACCGTTGCGTCAATGCAACACCAGCGGCTAATGGGTTAAAAGTACTTAATTTCCGTGTGCAGAAATGTGTACGAACCCTGAGTTTGATTGCCTGAAGAACAGAATCGCAGAACCAAATCTACTGCGGTAATTTTTAACGTACATTTGAAGCAGTTCTTTTCAGGCGCAATCAGAATTTTATTTTCATGGATATGTTCATAATGATTAGGTCCTTTCATTCTCATTATTATGCATTGAATAACATTTTTGGGCCATAAATCATACCTTGAGTACTTTTATGTCTGGAGGCCTTATCGTAAGCATTTATAGCAAGTAATTGCTTCGGATTTCAGGCAACAACAGAAGTGCACATTTCATTTCTTTTTTGTTCCGCCAGTATTAAGGATAACTTCATAATTTTTTTTCCTTAACCAGCAAATCAATTTGTTTTTCTATTATTTCCTAATTTTGATTTCAAATAATTATTTTTACAAATTTTTCTTTTTAGCAATCTATTTACATATTTACAATGCACACATGTTGCAGACTCATTAATCTTAATTGTACACTTTTTACTGTATATTTGATCATGCATAATATTTACATATTTACGATAATGCTGATTATATTCCAAAATGGTTCCAGCTCCATTGCAGACAGGTATCGAATCAACATTATTAGGTAAAATCATTAGCTCACTCACAGCATTAAAAGTAATAGACTGAGTTTTTTGGCCACACATGAAAACATCTGCAATTAATTCATTTTTGTCAATGATGCTGATTAATTTTCTCACCAAAGGGTACTGCAAATTTTTATCAGAAATCAGAATTAAGAATACTAAGAATTGAGGACAGTTTTTAATTTGTAATTTTGGGCCAAATAGAGAAGGTAACTGGACAGTCTCTACATCATTTATGCTTAGATTTCTTGAAACAGGGATTTTTGAAATACCATTATTTTTATTCAAACATATTTTTTTTCTTGTCACAGTTGTTATATTATTTCTGACTTCTCTTTTCTTTGGTAGTGGTTTATTAAAATATTTGGAGTATTCAGAAATGTGCTAGGTATTGCTACAGGTTTAAGCAGTGGTTTACCTCTTGGAATTTTTATTTCTTCACTTCGTTCTCTTGGAATTTTTATTTCTTTAATATGATGGTAAAATTTATCAATAAAATGCTCTTCAAAATGCCGTTCACACTTACTGTGGTGGATCCAATAGTTCTGTATCCCCTCTGGAAATTCTTTTCACCCATTCTTGACGAAGTATTTCATCTTTAGAAACTCTAAACAGTGATGCTTTTGTGGCATTTTGGTGCCTAGATATAAAGCCAGGTACGAACACTTTCGTAAGAGTTTTGCCGACATATCAAATTAAGTTTAGCAACTCACAACAAAAAAGAATATCCGAGGTTATTGAGCAAAATTAAAAATAATAGACTAATGTTTCGATTTTTAATATGAATTAATTTCAGGAAGAAAGCGTCATATCAACGATTGTAAACAAACATCTATCTGATTTTGATGGGGCACATGTGCTGACAGTGCCCTCTATTATTTGTACAAAAAAGATTACCCTGTTTTCACATGGGGTCTATGGGGTGATAATCCCACTATATCTTCTAGTACACTATAATCTAGGAATGATAGATGCCAATATCTTACAGTATTAAATATTACAGTATAACTTACTAGCCTTTGAATGTCATTAATAGTGTTAATGTGGTCCCCCAGTGAATGACAGGTTGAAAACCCCTGATTTAATATTAAGAAGAAAAAGTTTTGGGAAATATTCCATAATTTGCCAGATTTATTATATCCCCTTAAAAGTAACACTCTCCATCTGCATGGTGCTTAAGCCAGCATTTTTTTCCCAGCTCTCAAAACATGTTTTAGTCATTCTTGGAAAACCTCTTCCTGTAAATTTTCATTATTGCATCAGTAAATTCAAAATGATAAACTTAAAGCAGCAGTATAAAGTGAATACAAAGCTGATGAATCCATATTTGCTGAGTTATGGGCCAACATATCATAAACAATAGTAGTATTCTGATGTGAAGAATTATTTTGCCACAATTTAGGTAATTTTTTAAGAATTGCTTCATGCAAACTCTACAGAACACTCAATTGATTTAAGCCTTGTCAGTTCATGGAAATTTATGATTCTCAACTGTATGACATTTTCAGAAAAACAGCATTACATTTGCTTTAAGCATTATCTTCCTTTTTGTTTTACCTAACAAACTGCAAATCATATAGAAACTTGTTCAGTAATATCTCTGATTGTTAAATGATGATAAACTGAGCACTGAATGACATATGTTACGTGTTCATTATGTGAAGTTTGCACTCTATCAGAGTGTTGGTTCATCTTTATTTATTCTTTACCTTCCTTAAATATCTTATGCCTTTTAAAAACTTGTTTTTTTATAATGTATTGTCCTTGATAGGTCCCCCCCCCAGTATTTTTTAAGTTTTTATTGTGGAAAAAAAATTCAATACATGTTCTTTTTACTTTTGCCCCTTTGGGAAATCGCAGAAGCAAATATATGTTCATTAAAAGCAGTTTTCTTACAAAAAATAAAAGAAAATGAAATGCAGATTGTTGTCAGATATCGCTAAAGGTATAACAAGTTTGCAAATACTTTACAAGCAATTTCCCGCAAGTGCTTATCTGAAATGGATCATTCTTGTATTTCTTGGTCACAGTAGTAGTATTTGAAAACTTTTAAAGTCTTTGTTTTTATCTGCTAATATTTTTCTCCTTCCTTAATTTTGTGTTCATTTAGAATGATACCATAAGAAGAGCTGAAATAGAAGCTTATTTCAAAAATTATAAAGAAGTGGATCAAATATACTTGGAAACAGATAGAACGTAAGTTTGGTCAATCTACATTCATCCAAGGGCATTATTTAATTTGATGTTGTACATTTTTCTTTAATGTTGATATAAATAATGTATATGTGAAAAATGTCTTCATAAAAAGCTGTTAAAATTATACTTTATATAAAATATATTGTTTATTAATGGCAGAACAAAATGTATTCTTTCCCTTTTTTTAATTTGAGTATTTTTTTAGAGATAAATTTTGTAGTGTGTGTTTAATGGCTTTATTTTCCTTCTTCAATGAGTGTCTATGTCACATAACAACAGATAGCAAATATATATAAAAAAAGAACTCTAAAGTTTTATTTAAAATTAATTATAATGCAAGTGTATAAAATTTTTGTTTGAAAAAAAGTGTGTTTGCTACTTGAAAAAACATATTTTTTATATATATTAGTATTATTATTTAATATATGTTTGAATATTTTTAATTATTGAGAAGTTTCATAAATTTTCTTTTTGTTTCAAATCTAATAATAAATATTTTAGACTTTCAGAAAAGAGAGTAATATCTTATCTTATCTATTTGACTATTCCTGCACTTTCTTTGTATGTGCTTCTGCTCTGTATTATGCCTGAGAAAATGTAGGAATTATCAGAAAGTTATTTGAAATTAGTTTCATAAATATTAATGTAAGTAAATTTTATTTGAATGAGATGGTAATCAAAATTTATGTAGACAAAATTAGGCTATATGAATCCTTTTTCAAGCAGAATTATTATTCACAAACTAAGACCTTTATAATCATATTGCAAACTGTAAATCCTTCAGTACTGAAAACCATATCAGAATTGGAATTTTGATGGTTGGAAATTTGTCCATTTAATCTAATGAATTGTTTGCAGTATTTCTCACCAAGTGAAGAGCTTATGTGTAGAAATCTTCATTAGAAGCATGCCATACTGTTTGCATATTTCCAGATATGATAGATGTTTTTTGATTGTGTGTGTGCCTGCAACATGATATTTTCCCAGTCCTTAACTGTTTTTGATAGCTTTGTAACAGCTGGGATACATGGTCATTTTTCAGCACTATGTGCATTCATGATATTGCATGGTGCAAATGATATTGCTTTTTGGCTATCTGTGGTGATTAATGTGCCACCTATAGAGCAAATTAATTTTGAACTATTTATTGAAACTGAAGGGAAGTACCTCGTGTCTCCAGTCGTCAAGCCTTTATATTATCAAGCCTATAAGGAAACTTCTTGGTCAGCAGTTGGGAGCATTGTTCCTTGATCTTTATTATTTGCAGAATCAGAAGAGGGTATTGGAATGTATATATTTTGTAATTAGCCCTTATGCCTTTATTTTATGTCTGAATCCAGATGGTGGATTGACTGTCTTAGTTTAGACTTATGTTTGCCAAACTAATCGCTTAATGCTTCAGGGTGTGAAACTATATGCTAAGATAGGCTATCAGGTGCCTGTGCTATATCTGAAACATTCAGAGTTCATAAGAAACATGATAAAATTTTAATTCTTTAAAATTACGTAAATTCATGACAAGCTAGCTAATGTTCACTTTAATGCAATTATATAGGATATTTAAAAGTTTGCATGAATAAATATTTCTTGAGTTGTTGGTCATAGACATATCATTAAACTTTTAAGAGACAAATTTTGCACAGTAAGCTTTCAAACTGTGGCAGTTTTGGTCATGTGATATTTTTCAGTAAGATTATATGAAAGTCCTCTTTGAAGAATGTTGCTGTTAGTAAGGTATCCTTTCTCTATTAAAGCTCTTAATTGATTTTCATTACATAAGAAATTTTGAATTTGCCAATTCTAAATAATCAGTTGCTAGTAACATTTTATGCTATTAACACTGCCGGGATAAGCACCTTAGTCACTGAACCTCTACATTGCACTGACAGGATGTGCTGTTTCGTCAGGATGAGCAATTTTTGCTCTTAAGCCTAACTTTGGAAAAAATTCTCTTCAATTAAATTTGTGGTTCAATTGTTCCAGCTTTGGGCATGTTGTGAGAACCCTCAGGTAAAGTCAGAATTAATTTTAAAACTTTATCATAATATTTTCCTAGCCATTTGAAGTATAAAAAAATATTTTGCTAAACCATGCACAAAATATTTGCCTCAACACTAGACAAACTCTAAGAGGTATAAATAAAACCTCTAAAACAATAAGACATATATCTCTGTATAAAAAAAAAATTCAAAAGCATCCAGAGCATTCCCATATGTTTATATCACTTGACGCAGTTAATAGACGGCTCTGTTTATTTACATTATTCAACCCACAGTTTCTCCTTTGATTCCTCAAAAAATACTGCTACAGAATGAAGATCAGCATTCTCCTCTCTTGATAAATTCCATCATAATAAACAAAGGGCTATATCTTGTGGGAAAAAAAGAGATATTAAACATTCTGTTTAAAAATTCGTATGTTGTATACCTGTCCTGACAGTGCATTTAAATGGTGATTCATATATAACACACACTGCTCTGTAATACAGTTGGCTGCCAATGCGTATATGACACATCATCCCAAAAAGGTTAAAACAATGCTTTTCTAATGCAAAAGTGGCTGGTCGAAATTTACATAAAAAAACTTAACATGCATTGATGTTTTAACAATACTTGTATGTAATCTGTAAAAGATATTTACTAATTAGCTTAATTGATAGTAATTGCATGTGTTTTGAATTTTTATAAAATTTATTCTTGTTGCCACATTTTTTATATGGTCTGTGTAAAATTTATATGTTTTAACTGAAAGGTGAAAGAATTTGTATATTTTAACTGAAAGGTGTGTCCTCGCCAAAAGTGGGTGAGGTGTGCTCAAGTGATGCAGCATCTTGACTAGTAATATGCGTGTGCGCACACACACACCTGATTGAAATAATCATGATCTGAAAACTTACCTTATTTGATACATTTCTGTAATTGGAACCAGAAGCTTATGGTCAACTATTCAAGAGATATTTAGTTGTGCAGTCTTTAGGATATCTATGTGACAAGGCGTGTTTAGAACTGACTTTTATATATTTTGCTCATGTTAAAACATTTCTTTTCATCCTATAATATCATTTGCTATTCTAGCACTTTTTCTCCCTCTAAATAGCTCCATTAATTTTTATCAAATGTATTTTGCATTTTTTTTTTTTTCCTGAATTGACGCTTAGATTTTAAGTGTTTTTTTTTATCTGTATTATATTACTTTGAAATCCCTTCTCTATACCTCTGCTTGCTTTTAAATTGCCCACACTTTTGAAATATTCTAATAAGATAGAGTCTATACCACTGTGTTCAGATCATGCAGCATTTCAGAGATTGAAGTTTTTTATAACATTTTTCTCCAGTGTTTAAAATATAAGGATGTTGAACACTACACTACTATTATTTCCAGTTCAGCGTTGGTTATATACTCAGGAAGTTATGCTTGGGTAATTACATCAGGAGCCATACTGTCGTAGCACAAATGTAAATTCTTTTTTATTATTTTAAAACTTTAGAGGCAAAGAAACTTTAAGAATGTGTTGTACATATCTAGTTATCCAATTACAGCTGTTTAGAACCAAGGAAATCAATGGAGAAAGTATATCTCCTAACTTTTTGATTTCATCAACTTTTTTCAGCAGACATAACAATTACATACTTCTACAAATGGAGACTAATTAAATTATTTTGCTTCTACACACAAGAATCAACTAGACTGGTGTCTACTGAATAAGAATTTCTATTTGTTTTGAACAATGCGTAAGAGATGTTTCTTTCATTTTTATTTTGTGTGTACTTAATTTTATTTCAGAGCATTAGCTATTGAACTTCATCGTTTATTGGGGGATTGGTTTCGAGTGTTTGAACTACTAAAAGGAAATGTGTTACAAGTGAAAGAAATGGAAGAAGCTTGGAATGGTGTTGCTGATTACTACTTTGATAGACAGCAATGGTAAGTGCGCAGAAATGTATTATGCTAGAAAATAATTCTCCTTTATTTGCAGAATTTTAAATATTCATGAGTAAAACTGAAAATATTTATCCTTTTTCTTGTAAGGTCTGAAGCTGTCAAGTATTATCAAAAGGCACATAATGATGAACGTGCTGCAGAATGTTATTATATTCTTGAAGATTATGCAGGATTAGAAAACCTACTTAATGTTTTGCCAGAGAATCACAAGTTATTAAAGGTGACTTGCCTTTAGTTATGAAATATCTTAAAACTTCTTTTTTGTTAATGGTTATTTTTAAAAAAATTAATATTAAAATTTAGTTTTATTTCTCTTGTTGTTATACATTTTTGACTTTATTTTTGAATGTGTTAGGAAATGGAATAATTACTTATGCTGCTTTACTGTTCAGGAACAATACTTGGAATTAATGTAGCATAAATAATATTCTTAGCACTTTGGATAGAGGGGAAAAAATGAGAACACATATTTTCCGTATAACTTTTTGACATTTGTTGCATTACAAAATGTGCAAATTATTGAAACTAATATTAAACCTTTTAAAGTTTGAAGTCTGCAAGCGTAGCAAAGCTTGATTTAATCTTTTTTTTTTTTTTTTTAATTCCAATAGTAAATAACCTATTGGCATCTTAAATTATTCATTGTTTGATATGTTAAACAAATTCCATTTTATTTTTATTTGTGACAGTGATTTCTTATCTTGATCCCTGTTCTTTATACACTATATGTTTTTCTGCATTTATCAAATTGTTTAATGAAGTAGTAAGCGACATTGATTTATGCATCAGTTAAACATTTTAATCAGTTTAAAAAATATGAAAGCATAGTTAACATTTCAATTATCAAAGCATTCATCTTCTGACTAAGTGATATAAAATTTTATTCCTGGTCAAGGCAAAGCTGTTAGGAATATTGCTCAAGTATTTCTCCTTGAATTCTGTATGGTTTTACTCATAGTAAAGTGTTTTCTCTCTATTATGTCTTCGATGGATAACTTGATTATTGTTCATTAATAGACTGTTGATGTTTGATGTTCTGAAGTCACACTGCATGCATTGATATAAAAGTAGAATTTAATTGAAATGCATATATCAATACATAACAAAAATTTAAAATAGGATTTTTCAAAAAATTGTAAACTTTTGTTAAATTGTCCCTAGAAGTTTGTGTACTAGTTTTAATGCCATGAGTCGCCACTGGTTATTACAGATTTTAAGCTGTGGTCTTCTAAGTTATAAACAAGGGAAGGGCAATAATGTAAAATATGTTTAATATTTTCAATAAAAAAATACGTTCTGTTGAATCACAAGGACACAAAGAAGAATCCACATATATAAATCTAAATAATTTTTCCTTGACTAGAGAAGATGCTTTTTCATTCTTCTTGCTTTGTTTTGTACTTTTATGAAATTCATTTAAGTTTTAAGGACCATTGTTCATGCCAGTTTTAAAGTATGCTGTATTTTAATGCCCCGTGTTCTTAAATACGTTTTAAGAACTTTTCTGAAACTATTATGCAGATTGGATATGTTGTCTCTGTAGTGATTTTCTCTGCTATATGATTTCCAGTGTGTCCCTTAATCTATTTAATGCATATTTTTATTTCCTATAAGTAGTTCTTGTAGTACATTAAATTTATTCCCCAGTTCACCATAATTTCAGCTATTCTGAATTTTATCCATGATTATTTAGCTCATTAAATATATATCTGAGATTGTAATTTGTGAAGAAATTTGTCACAACTCCCCATTAGAAAAAAAAAATATATATATATATATATATATCACTTCAACTTGGTAACTCGAGCAGTTTTGCTCTGTGAACTTAAAATTTGTTTCCTGCTGTTACTAATTGGGTGGGAAAGAAGATAGAAACACAGCTTCTGTTGTTTACATGCTTCTACATGATCAAATTTTTAAGTATGTACAACCTTCAATCCAGAATCAATAATAACCTGTTTATCAAAGTGACACCAATTTCTTGAGAAAACTCTACATCAAAAGGATCTTTGTCATAAGTTCTTAATTTTCTTGTATTTTTAAACAGTTAGGTATAATAGTGGTTAGAATGTATAATGTCTCGTATAAAATTGTGCAAAACGTCTGATATGTAGGGCTAATGTTGTTTGAACTGACCTTAAACTTTTCTTATACTGTAGTGCCCCATAAGACAACATTCATAAAGTAGCTCATTCATAAATAATTTTCATGGCATCTGGTCTTATTTCCAAAATGATGTTCACCAATTTAAATAGCATATTTAATCACATTATGTTTCCTATGTATTTTATTAATTACCCAGTTAAGTTTATTATTAAGTAGCTCACCTAAATAAAAAATTTCAGTATTAGTCCCTAAATTCCTGCAATGTGTACTAGTATTTAACTACATTACTGTTGTAGTGTAGTGGCGGAAACTGCTACACAAACCCCAGGTTGTAATACAGGCTTGAAATGAACCCCTAACTCAAGTTCTAACAATAACATGAATTTTAATGAAATAAAAATGCTAACAATTGCAAATCATGAAGGTATGGAACTTGAATAAGTTCAGCCCCATAATTTCAGAAATTTGTTAATGGGAAGAATGCTCTATTGCATTATACACGAGGAGTGATAGTTCTAGCGGGCCAATATACCTATAGCTCCAGCAGGAAAGACCTCGCTCTTCTCTTGAAAAACCTTTTATATCTCACTCTGTTGTTACCTGTGTCGAACTCTGGGGGGGGATATTCCTTCACTCGTACATAACAAAGTTGCCATCTCCTGACCCTGATGAAAAAGACTTCTTTTATCTCTTTGTCCCTTGGAGTGACCTTCAAGACTGCAACCATTAACAAAGGAAACTCATTGCAACAGGATGTCACCTATGTACTGAAAAGGTACTACTGAACTGTGAAGTTATTCATTTTAGACAAAGAACCTCTATGCGACCTTATCACTCTGTTCTTTTTTCTTTCTAGTAAAATTTAAAATATTTGATTTCATAGACTTTTATGAGATGCCCCTATTCTATTCTAAAATTTTAGAAATACAGTTTTTGTAGTATGTTTTTCATTTAAGCTGTTTGTGTATTTTAATTTATTATAGATCATCACCAAAAGAAAAAATTTCACCACCTAAACAAGCCGTAAGTTTGAGAAAGAATCACACGAAGTTGTCCAGAATTCTGGTCTGCAGCATGATCTCTGAGGATAGCTCAGTGTAATAACTTGATGAATCATCATAAGAACGCATGAAATATAATCACAAAACTTTTTTTAAAAAGTAGAGATTTCTAGGGCAATGAAATTCTTCATTATTTCCTAATTTTTATGTATGCATCATAATTCAGATGTATGCCACATTTGATATGAAGCACTGATTATCATGCCACATAAAAATACTCTTGATGTCGAATGCATTTGCGATTATTTGATACGTTGCACTGAGATAATACAACATTTAATGGAGCATCAGTTGTATTAAATAATTTATCACCAGTGGCAATTTCAAAATATTTTTTAATCCACCTTTAATTTTGTTAATAGATAGGTTTCATGATTAAGTTGAATTGTAACAAATATATTAATGAAACTGTGACTGTATTTAGCTAAAATTTCATAGATATGTAATGCACATCTTTTTCGCTTATATATCCACAAAGAGAATGAGTTGAATTAAAGATACAGTTTTAATTAAAACGATTAACCTATTAAATACATTTCTGTGTACCAGAAGAAGTTTTTAAAATGTGCGGTTGAAAATAATTAATTATATCTTTGCAAATGTTAAATTTTAAATCTGAGTACAAATCTAATGCTTCAGCAATACCAGAAGGTTTCTAAAATAGAAGAGCATCAGTGATGTCCATATATGTAATTGTCTGAATTCAAGAATATGAAGTTAGATTAATGCAGTGTTATGCTGTTCACATTGTGCAATTTAATAGTGTAAGTTTTGCAAAAAGAATTTGAGCAGTGTCTCAGTGGTTTGATTTGTAAGAATAAGTACCTTGTCAAGTATTTGGTCACCTAGAAACATGTGAATCACAAGGGTTAGATTTGAATTACTTTGGCATGTTTCAAAGTATGATTTCTCAATGTCAGAACTGTTTCCTGAGTATTGGGATGTTTACAGATGTTCAGGTCAGGGTCACATACATGTGACAGCAGAAGCCAATGATCATTTTCTGTCTGAATTGGCCCTTCAAACAGGATAAGAAATGCCAGTTACCTGCAAAGAGAGATTTTTTGGGTTGCAGAATGAAATATATTGGCCTAAACTATAGAAAAACTGCATTCTTCAATATGGTTTTATACATGTAGACCTGTACTTTGTGTTCCTTTAAACACGAGCCATTGTAGAATATGGAGGAGGTGTCAAATTGATATTGCTTTGTATTATATAGAGTTGTGTGATGTTCTCATCACATGTGTCTTAAGATTTGTTGTAACCAATCATTGTGTCTTTTTATGGATAGAATATAACGTAAGAAATATTCACTGTTCTGTGACCAAAGGTCTCAAAATTGAAATGGGCAGTTCATGATTTATTCAGGAATAAGAGGATGTACTGGCATCTACTAGATGTACATCATACAAAATGGCAGTGTGATAAGTAGAGGGTACAGGGATGGGATGTTTGGACTTTTGGTGTTGTCATATGGAGGAGCCACTGGAAATATGTTCTCTTTAATGGATGATAGTTCTTGATACCATAAGGGCTCTTCCTTTGGAAGATTGTGTTCTGGAGTAGGGCCTTGAGTGTATGGACAGGCTAGTATGCTTACCTGACCTGAATCCAATGCCACTTGCATGGATTGATATAGACATTTTGTTGCTTAGCTGAGATCTCCTCTGAGGCTTTGAGAACTAGTTTCCTTGTGAAGAAGTGAAAATTTGCCTTGCAATCATCTTGTGGGATCACCATATAAAAGATGTTCAGTAGTTTTAGCAGTTTGAGAGACCTTGTGCTCTATGTATATTGCATGAAGTCCTGAGTAAAACAATTTCTTTAATTTCTTTATCCTGACTACTGAAGCAACTGCTTGGAACATTATGTTTTTCTCTTATTGGCTAAAATAACTTGTAAGCCAAATTTTCTTGCACCATATATTGTTAGGACACACATACATCTCTTGCATTTTCCCTCAAAAAGGTGACTGCAACAAATATATTTCTTCAGTGTAGTAATTAACTCTTTAATTTTGCAGCTGTATGCATCATTCTTAAAAAAATTA